TCCCACATAATAGAGTTTGCGCAATGCTGCACATGAATTTTTTCATCACCCATAACCGCTCAAAAAGAAAAACCCCAAAAGAGAAACAGTCGATAATGCACTGAGCCCACTTGGCCAGTAATTTGGCCGTCGGCATCAAAGGGCACTGAGCTCTCCGTAGGTGTATAATTAAATGCCTCATCAGCTCGTCGTCGGCTGATTGATTAACATGCTGGCAACAAGAAATGGACAAAGCGCTGATGGACAACTTACAAAACGCAACAAATGGACAAACAAAAACCAAACACACATACACTTATGTTTCCCAATGCGGTCTTCACTTTGGAAATGTCGCTGACGAAAATGAAATCAATATCAAAAGCCGAAGTCCACTTTTCATAATGCATTGTTACCAAATTAGGCGCTGACCGCTGATAAGCGGCGGTTCGTTAATGATTTATAGTTGCCAAATCAGCGGACAGCAGGCGATCAAACAGATACTGGCGCTAAAGCTTAACGGCATGGACACGCAATCGCTGTGCGGATCGAATCCAATTAATATGCCACAGTATGCCACAGTTTCCAGCTAAGCGGACACTAATCTCCCGGTCGAGTTGCATTGCCATCGCAAGGAGGAAGAAACGGCTTTGGCTTAAAAAGCGGACTGCAATGCAAATGCCTGGCGACGTGGAAGGTTCTAGCCGAAGACGAAGACACGCAGCCGTCTGAAAGGCGGGCGATAAAAAGTCAATAAAACCAGTTAAGGTCAGGCCCGCTGCTTGTGTAATCAACATGTTGTTGGCCGCCGTCGGCTGCGGCAGATGCTAAATACAATTTTATTTATGAATAATGTGATGTGCTGACGCCGAAGTTGCTGCTGAATGTTGATGCTGATGCTCGTGTGGATGCTGAATGCTGATCACGTTGCCGCGCTGCGCCACAATAAAAATGAAAATGAAAATAATAAAGTCTCAAGTGTCGTCGATCGTCGATGGTCGGTGGTCGTTGGCTTGGCGTTTGGTAGTCACTGTGGCACTGTGTCAGTGGCCGCCGGGGGCAACCGGTTGCGCATCCTTGACATAAAAACCGCACCGATCCGAGACGATCCGATCCAAAACGATCTCGATCTCGATCTCGACAGCGACCAGCTTACATCTTCGGTAAATTTATACGAAATTGCGTATACGCAATGGGGCCCCGAGGTGGCGAACAAAAGGGCGCGGCATCTTTATCGCCGCGATAATCGTGTACAAATTTATGTTAATGACAACGTGTTAACAATTTGCATATCTGTATCTCAACCTGTACCTGTACCTGTGACTTGCCAAATCGCACATTGAACGGCATTTAGCTTTACTAACGATACTGTCTTTTTGTTTCTTTTCATATTTGGCCCGCAGATGAAAGTGACGCTGGCGTTAGCGACTTTCTGCGTGGTGATGGCCTGCAGCCATGCGGCCAGAACCACCACCACCACAGCGACCAAGCCGGGTCGCTTCCTCTCACTGCCCGTGCCCGCCAAGTGCGCCAGCCGTAAGTACTTCTCATGAATTCCCCAACTACTTGTAGGTACTATATATATACCCATCCCCAATGGCGAAAAGTAAAAGTGAAAAATGTGGCGAGAATATTAAAGCGCTGCTTTGGCTGCCAAGTTTGCACTTGAATTCGTTTGGCAATGCGACGTGTGGGTGTAACCACAATGGCGAGGGCTTTGTGCTGAAGGTCGCTTCAAAGAGGTTTATGGTTTCAAGTCGCTTTCTTTGCCCGCCTTTTTCGTAAACAAATTCCAATTACTAGATAGGAAGTATTGAAAATAAACAGAGGGTGCGCATGATCAAAGATAATGGATATGTATATTCATTTTTAAAAATAGTTTTTATAACATATACAGTTAAGTTATTCATTAGAGAAGCTAAATTGATTAAATTAAATGCATAAATTTATTTTTATATATATATAATAATAAATAAATAAATAAATATTTTTTATAACACATACAGTTCAAGTTATTCATTAGAGAAGATAAAATAAATAGTAAACATAGCCAGAGATTTTCCATACCAAAAATAGATCTTTATTTTCGCTACCAAATAATCAAAAAAGTCATAAAAAAAGTTGTTATATCCGCTAAGCTCAAGCATTAACTCTTGACAGGCAAACAGTTCGGCTGAAGCGGGTTTTTCTCATTTATTCTAGCGATGATTGGCGATGCAAGTCATCGCGTGAGATTGCGAACATTGCAACAGGGCTCAGAGTTCGGGCCAAAACGGGTGAAGCGCCTGAACAATAGCATCATCGCTGCATATCCGGTACACTAATGAACACTTTGCAGTTATTGCTAATTAGACAAACCCTAACACACACTAGCACACCAGCAGACTTACGGCTAACACACACACACACTCACACACACAGAGACTTTAAGCCGAGCCGTTAAACATGCAACTTAATATTTTGGGGCGTCACCGAGAGTTGCATATCCAGTTTTTGTTTTTTATTACTATTTTTTTTTTTGTGTTTTTTTTTTTGTTTTTTGAGCCGGTGCCGTTGCGAGAGATTTAGATCTTTCATCTCTCAGAAATTTCCAGTTATTCAAGCGTCACTTTTTTTTGTATTTGGGTCGCCCAATAGTTAAATCACCTGATTAACTATTCAGACTTAATTACCTTTTGTAGACAACTCTCCCGGGTGTGGTTTTTCTAAGGCACTAGCTTCGAGAGATGCCAATCGCGAAACTCAAACGGGGAATGCAGGCTGTTGGGATGATTATGCAAGCTATTGGGGTTAGTAAAATACACAAGCCACAGAGATTCATCTTAGCCATATTATCGCCTTGACCCGCGCACAAAAAGGGGCCAGAAATGTGAGGAAATTGCAAGCGGCGGCTGCCAGTTCGCCAGGCTGGTAGCAAAATAAATAATAACGTGCAAACAATGGCAAATAAGGCCATTATGTTGGACTTAAGCCGATTTGACGCGAAGCATTTGGTTCGGTGGAAGAGGGGGGGGCCGCTTGCAAAAGTGGCTTAAAGCGCGGCTAATGACGCGTGCCAGCTGTGGCAACAAGCGGGTTTTCGTTGTTGCTCTTGGCTTTTAGGGCGTGCCCGGGGGCGGACATATCGCACACTGCGAAGACTCCCAAAGAGGCAGCGGCTAATCAAATGGAAGCTGGCAGCGCGCTCAGGCGAAACAAGTTCGAGGATGGAGCTGTTAGGCGGGGGCTCCCATTGTTCGCCTCCCCGGCGGACGAGCCACCCGAATAAAAAGAAACAAATAAATGAAAAAGAAAAAAAAAAAGGAAAACTACAAATAAATAAACAGAAAACCTTTTGACACCCAAGACAAAAGGAAAGCGGCAGCAGGCGCAAAAAGAAGCATGCTGCATAAATTGCCAAGATTGCGTAACCCGCCGCCGCCACCGGGGAAGTTGTGTAAGGCCCGGGGCAACTATATAGCTATATAGGTGTGCATATAGATATATATGTTTTTACTTTTGGCGCTACTTGCTTTCCGTTTTGTTTGCCTGCGATCTTTGTATTACTTTGAGCGCCCATCGTGGGGCAGGCTCCAAGACATTGCACTGGGTCTCCAGTTGAAGTCGAAGATGAAGCTGAAGATGAAGATGAAGATGAGGTTGCAACCGCGCGGAGAACCGGTTGGTTGGGCCACACCCACACTGAGAGAAACCCATTGGGAAGTGTACATCCATTTAAAATGATTGTAATTATTTGTCGTTAGAAATTGTGCAGGGTTCAGGGAAATCACATGAGGGAAACCAGATTTTATAAATAATTAACTGATTAAGGTTATAAGAATCGGATCATTTTTTTGAAATGTGAACTAAGATATGTACATATAAGATTAAGCCTGTATATTTAATTTAAATTAATAACACTATCGGTTATTTTAAAATTGAAAAACCAAAGACCTTCCATTCACAATGCAACTTTTTTAAATGCAATCTCCAGAATCTCATCCTCTTTCCCTCTGTTTTTTTTTGACCCACAGGCCCCAAGGAGTTCTCCTACCGCGGCAAAAACATGTTCCTAACCACCCACGTGCCCGCCCTGGCCAACAAGAAGGTCGACTGGCTGGACGGCCGCAACCTGTGCCGCGAGTACTGCATGGACCTGGTCGCCCTGGAGACCCAGGAGAAGAACAACCTGATCTTCCGCGTGATCCAGCAGAACGATGTGCCGTACATCTGGACGGCCGGTCGCATCTGTGACTTTGCCGGCTGTGAGAACCGCCCGGATCTGGAGCCCAAGACCGTCTATGGATGGTTCTGGTCCGCAACCCGCGAGAAGATCCAGGCCACCAACCGCATTCCTCAGGGCTGGGGCTACAACCCCTGGTCGCAGACCGGACACAAGAAGCGCCCGCAGCCGGACAACGCCGAGTACGACATCAACCAGACCAAGGAGCAGTGCCTCTCCGTGCTGAACAACGTGTACAACGACGGCATCGCCTGGCACGACGTTGCCTGCTACCACGAGAAGCCCGTCATCTGCGAGGACAACGAGGAGCTGCTCCGCTACGTGGCGGCCACGAATCCCGGCATCCGTCTATAAGGCGGGTCTCTCTTTGCCTAATTTTAAAGCTACTTATTATAATATTCCTTAAAACGAGTTTTTGTATAATTTTTGTTTGTATGTGTACGACGAAAACGGAAGAAAGCAAGACAAATAGACTTTAGAATTTACAATTCCCAATCTTACCACCTATAAATACTTACTGTCATCACCCGCCCTCTCTTCCTTACCCTTATCACTTTTCCCCTTATCGTTCCGAAACTGCCAATTTTACGCGTAGAATTCCATTCCGTTGTAATCAATTGAGTCGTTTTCAGACCGCACTTGAAATATTTATAGGCAATCTTAAATTGCGAGTGTATCTCTGTATCCTCTAACTTTCATCCCAGCAAGAAGTTCGGAATCTCTTTAGTATTTTTCTTTGAGACACTCACCTTTTGCCCACAAAGAGATTGAATAAAATTTTTCCATAAAAAACAACATTTTGTTGAGTCTTTTGGTTTTCTTAATGATGATGCTTTTGGTGACTTCTAGAACTATTATATCGGTTTGATCTACAATCGTCATATGATGATTCTGAGGAGCTGCGATCTCTTTTAGAGCCTTTATAACGATTCGATCTGGTAAAAGCTCTATCTCCTTTCGACCTGGAATGATGTGAGTCCTTGAGATCCTTTCTTCTGCTCGAGTTGTTGGTGGTGTTCCCAAGGGCCTTGGAGTTCTCCAGCTCCACTTCAGGGCTTTCAGACCACCGCCAGTTCCTGCTTGTCTGCTCATTCTGGCCATCCCAACTGAAGAAAGGATAAATTGAATTAAATACCTTGGACTTCAAAAGGTTAAACCATTGTGTTACCTTGGCGTCTTGGCTGTGGGAGTTTTACTCGATTTTCGATCACTTTTGGGAGTTGTTGTGTGCTCGAGTTCCGTGTTGAACAGGTTCCTCGGATTGCGAAACAAGTGCAGATAGCCGCAGCTGTTACCTTTGGGACATTTTCGTGTTAAGGACAAACCTTTAAATAGCCACAGATTGTGATAAAGAAAATGGGATTATAATAAAGTAAACGTGCGTTGCGGCAACAGAGGTAGATTTGGATTGTCAAAGGATACGGCTCTTCTTGGCATGCAGTTCACGTACCGCAGACTGCGCCGCGCCAGGTTTTTAGATTGGAGAACTCCACGCTCAGGCGCTTGGAGGCGTAGTACCGTCCCTGAAGATTGGTAAAGGCACGCAGGGCGGATCTATAAAGGAGAGAGATCCATTAATTAATACACTTTAAATATGTAAATGCATATGCATGTTCATTTGTATTAATTATAAAGGCATAAGGGTTCTTCCTTTTCTTGTTTGAACATAAATGCAATTGGAGTCCTAGACAAACCGTTCGTTGGTGTACTCCACAAAGACGTGTCCCCTGAGATGTTCCAACGTGTTGCGCACAGTTCGGAAATTAACTATGGTACCAAACTTCTCCAGCTCGTCGACGGCATCATGGAAGAACTCGTCGTAGTCACTGCGGAGATCTTGCTCGGTTAGCTCCAAGTGTTCCTCCGCCGAAGCGTATTCCTTGTGCGGCTGTCGATCCTGCAGCATGGAGTGGCTGAAGAAGTGCCGGATGAGGAGGATCCTGGCCAGCATGGGTCGTCGGTGGTTGAAGGTGCAGGAGTGACCATATCGACAGAAGTTTGTGCGGCTGTAGAACTCGCATTGTCGCTCCTCCGGATGTGTTTCCACTTCGCGGAGCAGGTGCTTTGGGGGCTTCTCTATTCGTGGGTTGTTTAAGTACTCGTTCATGCTCTGCATCATGGCATCAAACTCGGCGGCAGCCTTTGCTGATCTAAGGAGTTCCTCCTCGCGCTGCTTTCTTTGCATCTCCTCCCGTTGGGCCTTCATTTCTTCCTGTTCTCGCTGTAATCGCTCCACTTCCTCCCGATCCTTGCGTTTTTTCGCCTCGTCCACTTGAAATTGCATCTGAGCAATGGCCTCGCGTCTCAGCCATGACTCCTCCGCAGCCTGGTGCTCCCGTTCGTCAGCCAGGCGCTGAAAACCCTCCATTTTTTGCTGTTCCAAGAGCCATTTCTGGTACTCCGGCTGCAAAAGTCTTTGGTTTTCCGCCTCCTCTTCTAGTTTGTCGCGTTCCTTCGCTTGTTTCTGACGTCGCCGCTTTCTCTGCAGCTTCTTGGTCAACTTTCTTCTAGTTCTGTGCATTAATTGTCATTAACTAAACCGTCTTGCAAGTAAAAAATTCAGTAGTTACCTTTTTCCCGGCATTTTTACAAATCAAAACATTGGATTGCTGCAATGTTTTGATATTGGGACTGCCACTTGCGCATTTTTCCCGCCATATCTGGCTATTTTTAAGAGCCTCATTTTAATCGATATTTAGCTTGAATCGATACGTATGAGCTACGTAGTAGTCGTTTCGTAACGTAATGCAATACTTAGTGTGATTAGTTTGGAACATTATTTTTTTAAAAATAGACGTTGGAATCGGTATAAAAAAAGTAGCTTAAACATTTTGCGGACGTACCATGAACTGGTTTTGAATATGTATAATTTTTGAATTTCGAAAAGGCCTTTTAATTAACCAATAAATTCGCAATTAAATTCGCCTATGTTGCGCTATAAAGGATGATACTTTCTCCTTATAGTTCAATGTTTATAGTATGAACTGGCAACTTAAAGCTTTACTGCTCTAAAAACAAAATAGGTCTTTAGATAACAGTATTCTTTATAGCACCAAGTTTCGGCAAATTATGGGATAAACAATCAAACTTGGTTAACTGTTAAAATTGTGTGGTAAGTTCTTTCATCACGAGCTTTTACCAAAAACACTTCCCCTCAATTTCGAGCTGGGCTTTGTTGCTGCAACATTGCCTGGTGGAAAATGTTGCAGTGGTTGAAAAAATTTCAAAACTTTAAGTTAGAAAAGTTTAATAAATATTATTATTATTATTATTATGTTATTAAAGGCACTTTAAGCCCAAATACTTTTCGGGCTAAAATCTTTTCTCTCTCGTTTAACTAGTGCCTCAGAAAAATAAGAATGTATGTTCGAATTAAAAAATTTTATGGACGATCTAGCACTTAACGGACTGACGGACCGACAAGACAATCTTGTACTCATTCTACCTTGCCCCTCAATTTCGAGCTGTGTTGCTGCAACATTGTGTCCGGCCGAGAATGTTGCAACTGCCGAAGATGCGAAAAAAAATCAAACTCAGTGATGAAGCAAAATTCGTGCGCGTTGGTTCACAAACACTTCGTGTGCCCAGAGAAAAGCCTTTCTCCTGGCTTTCTCTTGCTCGCCGTCTCGCTCTCTCCGGTTAAGCGCGTCTCGTGAGCTCTCTTTTTGCGCTCGGATCCGAGTCTGGAATCCGGATTGTGGACTCCGGCTCCGCCGCCGGATCGCCGTGCTTAATAGAAATACTCGAAACTGCTAAACTAAGCCAAAACAATTGAAGTGCAATTCTCGCGGCACAATTTTATATTAGATAAATGAAATAATTCGCGCCACTGGCACTTTGAACGTGTAATCAGGTCACAGGAATTTCAGCACACACATTTTGATAGTAATATTCGAATTTGATATTCGCTGTGCTCTTCACAATGCGACTAATTGGATTTATGCTGAATTTTGCAGCCCTAACAGGTGAGTGATTCCGCACAGAAAAAAATTATTAAATTTTATATTTCTCTATATATAATGATGTACTTAAGATAGGAAAATGTTGATAACCTGATGCTCTTCTATTGAATGATAATGATAATACAATAACAAAACTGGGACTGACTTTCTTAGGTTTATTTTTAAAGTGTTTTTTAAGGATTTTCCAATATAAAGAGAAATATACATATTATAAAATGGTATTGTTCCTGTGTATTTCCTTTTAATTATTAACTGCCTTTGAAGTAGATCTGAACTTCTTTGAGTTCTGACAATTGTTTAAGGAAGTGTGATGACCCCATTTTTGTTTTGAGTGTGACATTGGTTGGGGCAACTGTGGGTTGGTGGGTGGGTGGTTCGGTGGGTCGGTGGCCCTCTTCCGAGTTACGTTCTGCGTTTTATTTTCGGTCTCATGGACAGTGTTTATTGTGTTCTTGGCTGGCGGATAGTTACGAGCTTCAGTTTCATTCATAATATGGTTGTTACGGCTCTTCTTTGTCTTCGTCTTCATGCCGTTACGTGTTTATCAATATTTGCTCACGGTATTTAGTTTTGTGGCTCAAGTGTCTCGTGGCTAATAGAAAATCGATGGCGGCACATTGTTGCACATTTTTGTCTTATAAGTATCTCGCAGATACGAAAGCCCCTTTGTGCAACTCTGCTTCTCGACATCCCAGTCGTCAGTCGATGTCAGTCAACGATGTTTGCTCTTAGTCTTCCGATCAATTTCCACTGCCTAAAAGCCGTCGAAGGGGGTGTTAAGTCGCTCTCCAACTCGAATGGCGTTTCCATGGACTGTCACATGGCTTCGACTTTCCTCGGGACCATTTGCCATGGTCCTCCAGTCCTCGTCTCCGGCCGACACTTCAATCTGCATGCTCCGCATTTATGTGGCGCTGCGTTTTTGGCTCTGCTGCTCCTTGGCTTTCTTTGATTTCAGCCCAGCCACTCTTCCGCTTCCTCCGACTTCTCTCCACTTCGCCTGGGTCCTTGCAAATATTTAATTTAAGCCTGCTGACAGCCCTCGCCGAAGGGTAACAACCAGCTTTGTCCTTTCTTATGGGGCAGTGTGTACAAACAATAAAAATCATGAATGTATAAATATATCTTAAAGCCTTAAACTTATCAACTGAAATTAAACCATAAAATTATATTATTTAGAAAATATTCTATAAATCGAAGAAATGGTATTTATTTTTAGTATGCTTAGATTTCTAACTCTTTTTCACAAATGAATAATTATTTACTGAATTTTTTTTATTAAAACCATGGAAGGAAGTGCATACAATCTTCGCCACATCGAGTCCTTCCACTCTGTCCTTTTTTTCAGTATTTCTGCTGCAATTGCTGTTGCTTTTATCCCGGCAACTGGATCCATGGCGGCCGACTCCGTTTATTTCTGTTGCTGTGCCCCACTTGCGGTTTTGTTTAATTACGCATATTACTCCGCCTTTCGCCACCACTGTCCTCCCGTTCATGGGATCCATTTCCCATGCTCCCAGCTCCCCGTTCCCCGTTCCCTGCTTTCAGTTCTGGCTGCTGTTTCTGTTGCTGCGGTCACTCACTGACGGGGACGAGTGTCTTTGGTCGGATCTCTTGAGGCTTGTCAGCAGCAGGAAGAACTTCCGGAGACACACTCGGGGGAAGGTGGATAGGGTCGAGTTGCTTCTCTGCGGTTGTCGCCCACTTCCTCTCGTCCGGGAATGCAGATGCAGATGGGGTTGCTGGATTGAATTTCGCATTTCTCATTTCGGATTGTCCACTGACCAACTGCCTCGATTTGACCAACTTGCTTTGGGGGTGACAAATCCAAATCGGGCTGGTTAATTACTTTGCCAAGTGCGAAGTGCTCGGCTTTGCCTCGTCTCCCTCCGTCGCGAAACTATCATATTTACCCAGTGAGGTCCACAAATTAAAATCAATATGAAGCCTGCAGCGGAGGCAATCGTTAATTATCCAAGCGGCTGCCGCTAATGAGGTGAAGTGTCGCCAGCAACGCACCGGCTGAAATGGCGTCCCATTACTGTTGGCCGCCACTGTGCGCCGGCCTCTGCGGGTGGGTGTGCACTTTTAATTGAGGGAAAGGTCAGCGCCGCATCGATTTAAATGCAAAATGTACTAACAACAAACAGCGAGCACTAGAAAGTAAGTGAGGCAATTCACAACAATTATCTAATGTCGGTTTGTCATGTAAAATGCCGTGTATTTATTCTATTTTCTCTTTGTAAAACTATATAGGCAGGAAAGGAATAAAATATTATAAAATTTGAAAATAATTATATACCAAAAATCTGCACGGAAATATCTGCTAATTTAATGTGAAATTGCACTGGGAAAAAGGGTTTATTTCCGCAGGGTGTCCGTTGTAGGCGTAGATACACGCATGGTTCGGCGCTGGCGATTCAATTTGGCTTGCCACTTAACCCCAGAATGCCCCATGCGGCCACCTTTAACTCTCGCGTTGCCGGAGGGCGGACTCGCTGCAGAGCATGATAAATTGCCACTTGACTTTGCATATTTGCGCTGTCAACGGGTCGTGAAAAGGGTGATGAAGAGATGAAGTTTGGGGGCAAAAGCGCTGCACAGAAAAAAATTTACTTATCTATTATTCTTTTCTTAGAAAACTAAAAAACCAAAACAAGCATTAAACATATTTTATATATAAATTGTTTTTTGAAATTCGTTTGTTATACAATAAGATGTAATCATCTTTTTCATTTTTATTCAACGATTGATATATTTGATTTTTATTTATCAAAACTTCACCGCATAATCTCGCAGTGCACTCCTCCATCATCGGCAGCCACAAAACGCTCTCAACCCACTTGTTCTCAACTTACTGTCGTCCATTGAATTCGTTCAACTTTTGCCGGGCGTCCGAACTTTGACTTCTGCCGAAGTTTTTCGTGTGTGAGAGAAGGTAGCGCCGAGATACAAACTCATCAGCCTTGACACCATTTAAGTTTTTCGGGAAGCCCAGCGGGAACTGGCCATTGTTGTGTGGATCGGGCGTTTCATTTAACTGACACTTGCAAAAGTGTCCTGTCATCCTTCGCAGCTATCCACCCCCCAAAACCCAGAAAACTCCACCCCCAGTGCCATGTCATGTCCTCATTTTGCTTTTTCGCCTTCATTTTGCATGCATGATTTTGGCCGTCTTCCTTTTTGTGTCACTTTCCGTTCGCCATAAGTATTCGTTTTGTTATTATTTTTAAAATCCGACAAGCACTCCACGTAGAGTGCCTGTCAGGTGATGTCGAGCTCTGCATTTTAGTGTGCCACTGACACCATCCTTTTTTTCCGTTCATTTTATTCATTTTTTTTTGTCATGTGCCGAATCGCGGCGTGAATAATTACAATGGCCACGCCAGTTTGCCCTGGGGAACTCAATTTGTTAACACCCGAAATGTGTTGGATCCGATAAAAAGTCTGCGATTGCTCGAAATGTTTTCGGGTGGTAATTGAAGTTATTTGCGATGTGAATTGGAAAATCCGTTGCAGAAATACAACGGGAAATTCCATAAAAATACATGCTGTTGTGGAGTATGAAGTAAATTCTTTCTAGTATCTAATTTTTTTTGTAACCTATGAGAGCATATGAAATATTGTTTGAAACTCAAACCGTTATTGCTTAATTACTTTATTTCCTAGAAATCATTCTTTTCTGTCGTACTTTGCTTAAATTTAAGTGGCAAAACCAATAAATGTCAAGTGGTTCGGACATTTGACCGAAGTCATTGTTTATTTTTGAACTCGTAAAAAGCAGAACCGAGAGATAAGAGCTTACCCAGTCATCCACCTTTTAGAAAATCAATTCGGTGCGTAGTTATTAAAATAGCACTCAAAACACCAGAGTAACCGCTGCAATTTGTGCAGGCATTCATTATTTAGCACTGGCACTGGAATGCTGGGGCTGACAAATTCGAGTGCATCACACCGAGAGCATGAAGCACTTTGACATTCCAACAAATTGCTGTGGCAATTACAACGCGCCGAGTCAAATGTTCAGAAATCATTGCACTTGTCGCAGAGCGACACAAAAATAAATGTGTTACATTTGTCGGGCGTTCAATTTGGATGGAGCACCATGGTGGCTGCCTGCTTTGTTTATGATTTAATCAATTGCTCATTAATTAAATGCCGTTCAGCTTTTCAGCCTTTGTGCTTCTTTGTCCCCTTCGCAGCAAGCGACCACAAGGCGGGGGACACGATGATGTTTCAATTTACCATCAATTAACCTCTGACCCCCGCAGGCAGAATTAAACAATAGAAATGATACGAAAGGCATTTAGTCAAACTCCGGCTCTCGTCGAGCTGCAAAAAAATGCCATTGTGCATTTGTGGGCGGGTGTAGAATGATATAATTTAATTAAATGTTAAAAAGATATGGGCCCTTACCTACCATAAAGCACATGCCAATTTACAGGAGCATTTAATTGATGTTTATGCATGGCCCCATTGAAATGAATTGCCCAAACACAATCGCCGCAAAAAGTATTGGCAAAAAATCGTTAATAATAATCGATTTGCGTGTGTTTTCAATCAGTGCAAATAAATAAACAGGATGGGCGAATACAAGGGCACTCCACGCATCCATTCGCCGGGGAATCCGGAATTTAATCGCTGTTTTATGGCTCTCTGTCCGACATTGGTTTATCATTTTTTTCGGCTTTTTTGTGGCAATTGCTTTCGCATGAATTTATTTACCGTGGAGGTTTTCAAACAAAATACTTGTGAAAAAAACGGTAAACAAATTGCTGCAAAATGATCACTCTGTCAATATATCTAAATATGAATTCATTGCGGTCATCGAAAAGCAATACAATTCGTTATGGCGAAATCAAATAGCTCTTTATGCTAATGGAAAAAGTATTGAGTTTGTTCAGGGATTTCCAACGTCGCAGTTTGATTAAATTAAATTGCCAAAGAGGCCAAAGCAAATACCTTTTTTGGGTACAATATGTGTACGTAGGTATATTTTCCAA